CTTTACTATAATTTTCACCCTTACTAGATGAATTTTCAACTTTATCCTCGATAAAAATATCTTGGTTGTGTTTATCCTCTTTGTCGAAGGTTTTGTCGTCTTCCCAGGATCGGAGGATGTGGTCAAGACCACGCGTCGTATAACGGAGTAGAGGTGGATCACTAGCTTGGTTTGGAGCTACCGCGGTAGCATCCCTGCGTGCATCATTGCCCCTTTTTTCGAGTAGAAAAAGAGCGAAGGATGATGCTGAGGATGCTTCAGCGGTAGCCTTAATTTATCAACATCCACCGTCCACCTCCCAGGGCGACCGGTCTCGATAGTATACCCGAAAGTTGTGGTAATCTTCACAGAAATACGCTCTTCATCGGGCTGGATCAAACTTTCAAGGTCTTCGTCCTCGACTGGAGGTCGTGGTCTTGTGTTGACGTCCTCTTGATGATCTCGTAGATTGCGTTTGTTTTCCTGTCTGAAAAAGACCTTCGGGTAGTAGGCATTTGGTTAAAGGTCGCCGAGTTGCATTCTTCAGAATGTCCTTGACCTATTTCCCCCTTGAAAAGGGGCCAAGGATGGTAGTGAGGAATGTAATTCGGAAACCCTTAATTTGGGTTGTTTCTTTGAATTACATTGTCAAAGAAAAAAGCTCGCGCGTCTGGTCCTTGCTCGATGTGGCGACCATTGCTTCCAGTCTCCATACCCATATACAACGGAACGTCGGAAGATGTTGTGGTCGTTCTTGCTTCTTTTTCTTGCTCATTGGCAGACGAAGAACTAGCCACCTTTTCAACATTCTTGGTAGGCGAAGAAGTGCTGGATGAAGTAGACTAGACGGCTGCAGCTGCTCAGGAGTTGTAGTACGCTGTAGTAATTTGGTGAAAACATTCTGCGAGAGCCACCCATGTAGCAGAAGAGGGTCAAAGTCTTCTTGTCGTAAATCGAAAGGGGACAAGGCTCTATCCTCAGGCGCCTGGCACGAAAACGCTCCTTGGTTAGGGTGTGCTAGGCTGCATCTCGGTCCCTTCATCTTGGCCCCTTTTAGCTTGTTGTATTTCATGAGAATACAGAGGAAAAGGGTACCAAGATGCCGAGAAAGGTGGAGAAAAGCTGGCCTTAACATGGTAGAGCGGAGGCAACGTTCCACGACCTTCCGGAAAGAAATTTTCGTACCACTGATTGTAGTACTTTTCTTTCTTCTTTTTAATTTAGCGAAGCCACCGAGTATCAATTCATCTCCTACCCACATGTTCTCAGAGTTTGAAGAAGAAAACGTAGAACAGAATGAAAGTCATAATTGGCTGTGAAGTACAAGAACAAGTAACCAACTACTTGGAGGATAAATTATAACATCGTGAACGCTTCTACTTGGCTGTGAAGTAACAGTTGTAAGATGAATTATTATCGTGAGAACGAGAAGTGCCTTAATCAATACGAGCAAGAAGACTGCCCGCAAGTTTCTCTACGACCGCGGCTCCGGAGTCGGGGTGTTCCGGTCCCAAGCGGGCCTTGCGTCTAAGGACTTTTTGTA